TATTATTTTTAGTTTATTACATTTGTTAATGCAAAAGAAATTTTCTTTTAAAATTCGTAATAAAAATGAATCAAACACATATATCAATAAAATGTAATTTATATATCTATTAAAGAGAGAAATTTCAATAATAATAAAAATTCTAATAAAATGGTTATAATTTTTGAATTTTTTAAAAGTCGGTTCCAATTAATGCAAAAAAAAAAAAAAAAATCTAGTCGATTAATCATTAAAAAAAAAAATGAAAATTAAGATTTCTCGCTCGAAAAGAAAGCATTTAAAAGGAGAATTCTTTTCATTTTATTATCATCCTTCATTTGCGAATAAACTTAGTTTTTCATAAACAAAATAAATTGTTGTTATAAAAAGATTATGCTGCGTAACTTGACAAATCTTGTTTTAGGAGTTGCCGTTGCATCGAATTCAAAAATACTTCGAATTTGTTTATATGCTTTGAACTTTGGTTTATGATATAATAAAACTATCAAACCAATTTTTCCTTGCTCCTTTTTTACCATCAAAACTTAAAAATAACTTGACAATCTTTTTCCGTCTTGAATTATTGATCAAAAACTTTTCTAATCTTTCTCAACTAGGATGTTCACTTTACACGCCATAAACATCGGAAACATCATTGCCAATTTAGTTTTGTCAACGATTCTCTACTATTTTCGTAGGGTATTAGTTTCATCACAGCACAATTATTTCGATAAAAACATACTAGTACTTTGAAACGTGATTGTACCAAAAATTAGGTTTAATAATTAATCTTTAAGATGATCACGTTGGCAATTTTACGCTGAAACGAGTTAAAATATCAGTTCGATCGTATGTTTTTTTGTTGTGTTTGACATGTCGATATATTATTAAACTAACCGATTCGTCTCATCATTGACGAATCTTAAGAACTATAAATAATTTTCTATGGATAATGAATCGTTTTGTGATTTATATGGTTTAACATCTTTTTTCCGAAAGTGCATTATTTGACGATAAATGATTAGATATTTCGAAATGTTACTAAAAAACGAAGACGAGGGAGGTAATAATGGAATTTGTTTTATAATTTTTTAATTGCAAATAAATCAAATAATAATTATATCAACAAAGTTAAAGTTATATAAATAGCAAGACTTTTTATTTGATTTGATAATTTTATTTGCGCACTAATTATTCATGTGCACATATTATAATTATTTCCGCAGTCACATGATAATTAGCTGTTTTTTTTTTAATCTGAAATTTTTATTCGAAGCAATTAGCATATCTATAAAATCTCCGAGTTTTTTTTTTTAAAAAAAAATAATATATAGATTAAAATAATTTATGATGATTTTCCCAATACCTAATTAATTCGATAATCAAAAATTAATAAAAAAAAATAATTATATATTATATGTACACATGAAAATGACTTACCAAAGCCAATAAAGCCATTCTTACAAACATTCCATATTTCATTTGCCTAAAGTAAGCAGCTCTATCATCAAAATCCACTTCAGGATCAATTTCATTCATTCTAGGTAAAGGATGCATGACAATCACATTTGGCTTGGCATTACTTAAAGTAGCATTATTAATTATATAATAATCTTTAACCATCTCATATTCGGATAAGTCCGAGAAACGCTCACGTTGCATTCTAGTTACGTATAATACATCCGTACTAGATATAACTTCATGTAAATCAGTACATTCTCTTTGATCTATACCAATTTTACGAATTTCATTTTTAATTTCATCCGGCATACGTAATGAGTTTGGACTAACGTAGTTTAATTTTACGTGATAATGTGATAATACCCTAACTAAACTATGAACCGTTCTTCCATTCTTTAAATCCCCTACTAAAGTCACTGTTAATCCATTAACGGTACCCAATTCTTCTCGAATTGTATATACATCAAGGAATGCCTGTAAAGATATTTTAAAATTTTAATAATGAATTTTTAAAGCATGTTATTTCACAAATACCATTTTCACATCACATACCTGAGTAGGGTGTTCTCCAATACCATCACCGGCATTTATAATTGGAACAGGGGAATATTTTGCTGCGATCTTTGAACTACCCGGCTCTGGATGCCTTAACACTATAATGTCACCATAAGCACCTACGGTTCTTACGGTGTCACCCAATGTTTCTCCTTTCGTTACTGAAGATACATCCGTTTTAACTGAAACCACGCGTCCTCCCAATCTATTTATAGCAGCTTCAAAAGAAGCGGAAGTCCTTGTTGATGGTTCGTAAAACAAGGTAAACATTACACGTCCTTGTAATAGATTAATTGAACCATAACGTTCTACCAACGTACGCATTTCATATGCAACAGCAAACAATAAATGAAGATCATTTCTTGTAAAATCCTTGACTGTAAGGATATTTTTACGGAAGAATGATGAATGGCTAATCATAGATACCAGATTTCTAAAGGTTAAAAAAAATAATGCAAAAAAATGTTAACCATAGTTTATAATTTAAAAATAGATAAAGAAATTAATTTTAAATGGTATTTACGTAGGTAAATTAATATGAGGGAGTTCAAAGGAAGAAAATTCCAACGCTATTGAATTTGATCTAATCTCTTTAGGTCCCATAGGAGGTGACATAACATCGGCTAGATTACTAGCAACAAATTGGGAGGTTTGTGGGGGAACTACTTGTTGTTGTACTTGAGATGTTGATTCTTTAACAGATAAAGGCTCTTTAACAGCAGGTGTTTTAAGGAAAATAACATTGCCATTATTACCAGAAGAGAATAATCCACCATCAAGATATACGGTCTCTCCTCTTAATACTACACGACTTACTGCACCAACGAGGGTTTTACCAACAAATGGTGACCAACTTTCTTCTCTTTGTGTAATTAAAATTTTACGATCAATTTCGACTTCAACATAAGTATCAGGTTGTTTTGGGATATCAAATATGTTCTGTGGATTCGTATAAAGACGTTTTTGAATATCCTCCAATGATAATAATCCTTCATTAATAGCATTTGTGAGTAGCGGTATTGTATCTTCTATTCCTATACTTGCTGTATTATTCTTACCAAGCGTTTGAGCAAGTCTATAGGGTAGCGTGCCAACAGTGAAACAATCAATATCCTCTAAATGTTCCCATAAGGCAGATTGATCTGCAGCAGTTGGAAGTAAATGTTCACTATTTGGAATTACTTTTGTATTCAAAAATAATGCATATACAGCAACGTCACAAGTTACTTTTAATCCCTTTTCTTTGCTTAAAGCAATTAATACAATATCTTCTTTGGTGCTAACACTTGTTACATGTATAGCACGATTATAAAAATTAGCCAATAATAACACAGTCGCCAAATCTGTTCCTTTAGCATCAGTCACAATAGGTGAAAGTAAAGGCCAAGTACTAAAATGTTTGGATATAGTAGCCATCTTTGGTATAGTCATTCCTTGAAGTTTTGTAAATGGAATAAATGGAATAAATGATGAATCAGGTTCCTGCACAACTTTTGTCAATTGCAATGAATTATTCTCAGTCACAACTACTGATAAAGAATAATCACAATGTGCATTATTTTTACCATTACTACGTGCAATAGCAATAGTACGTGCATCTTGCAAAGAATCTGTCAATCCTATTGGTAAAATGTTGATCGTGGTAAAACCAGTTGCTAATGATGCCTTGGTTACTTGAGCGAAATCTTCACTATCTCGCTCAGCAACATGAGGAACGAAAGCAGAAATATTAATGAGCCCAGGTAGTGTAACTCTTTTATGACTAGTTTTATAGTCAATATTTAATATCTCAAGATCAATTTTACGTGAAAGAGCCTCAACAAATAATTTTGCGCATTTAACATTGGTGATTAAAGGAATATCATAATCCACTGCCATTCTACGCGATTTATATCCTTTACTCATATAACTTGCTGGACGTCGATATTTATTCTTGGATGGTAAATTAATATATAAATCAATCAAATTATTAGCTAAATGTTGTTGTAAAGAATATTCCGATTTCATATCATCTTCAGAAGCATCCAAAGTTTCCAAATACTTTACGGTCAATCCATGTTCTTGAATAAAATCAGCTGTACCAGAGGTGGCAAATAAATTATATCCCAACTGATGAAGTTTTTGTATTGATTGTAACATTTCATTCTTTTCTTTAAATGATCCAATAGAAAGTAGAATATTTTTTTTTGGAATTGTAAATCCAGTAGAAATTAAAGCTTTAATATATGCTTCATATTTATCTCTACCAAAACAAGCGACTTCACCGGTTGAGGCCATTTCTACACCAAGAACAGGATCAGCTCCCGATAATCTACTAAAACTAAATTGTGGAACCTTAACAGCAACATAATTTTTTGGCAAATTTATGGTTCGGTAAGGTTCAATAGGCAATCCCATCATACCCAATGTAGCCATTTCAATTAAATCAACTCCCATAACTTTACTAACAAAAGGAAATGATCTAGAAGCTCTTACATTACATTCAATCACTTTAATATCATTATTTTTAGCAATAAATTGTATATTAAAAGGTCCTGTAACATTTAGAGCATCTCCAATTTGTTGTGTTGCTAATTCGATTTTACGTACTGTTTCAGGATCAAGATCTTGTGGTGGTAAAACAAGTGTTGCATCACCTGAATGTACACCGGCATTTTCAACATGTTCCGATATAACATGCATCAACACTTTACCATCAAGTGCTACAGCATCCATTTCAATTTCTTTTGCTTCCTCAATATATTTCGAAATGACAACCGGATGATCACGTGAAACTGCTACTGCTTGACTAAGATAATTTGAAAGATCATCTAAAGAATAAACTACGTTCATGGCAGCTCCGGATAATACATAAGAAGGTCGTACAAGTACGGGAAACTGCGCCTTTTTACAAAACTCTTGAGCCTCTTCGAGACTTGTCAATTCTTTCCATTCCGGTTGATCAACTCCTATTTGATCCAACATACGCGAGAATTTATATCTATTCTCTGCAATGTCAATCATTTCAGGTGAAGTACCTAAGATCTTTACAAGTTGTCTTTGAAGAGGTAAGGCAATATTATTTGGAATTTGTCCTCCCATAGAAATAATTACACCACAAGAACTTTCTGTTTCATAAATATCTAAAACGCGTTCTAATGTGATATTTTCAAAATAAAGTCTATCGGCTTCATCGTAATCTGTACTGACAGTTTCCGGGTTATAGTTAATCATAATAGTTTTTATGTTGTGTTCACGCAATGTACGAATTGCGCGAACTGCGCACCAATCAAATTCCACTGAACTTCCAATTCTATAAACTCCAGAACCAAGTACCGTTACACCCCTCTCTTCAAAGTTGATATCATGCTCTACAGCATTATAAGTTACATAAAGATAATTTGTATGAGCAGGAAATTCAGCAGCAACTAAAAAAATAAAAACAGAACTTTAAAATTAATGACAATTTTTTTATGATTATAAAATATGCAAAATTACATAAAAGATTACTCTGTTAAGATTACCTGTATCAATTTGTTTAACAAAAGGAACAATTCCAGATTCTTGCCTAATTCTTCTAATAGCCAATTCATTGCTCCCAATGGCTTTTGCAATTTGACGATCAGAAAACCCCAATTGTTTAGCATTAAGAATAATGTCTTTTGTAATATTATTAGGATGAAATTTTTTTAATTTTCTGTCTAATTCTACAATATTTTTTAATTTATGCAGAAACCATTTATCAATCTTTGTATACTCCCAAATTTGATCAACGGTATATCCTTGATGTAAAGCATTCGCAATTGCAAATAATCTTAAGTCTGAAGGATTTACAAGTTCTTCATCAATTGAATCTACTAAATCATTCTAAAAATAATATTTAAACCTTGTGTGAAACTTGAAACTTTTTTTTTTTTAAGTTAATTAAGTTGATAAATGAGAACATAACTTACTTGATCAAATCCCATGAAACCAAAATCAATAGCCCTAATAGCTTTTTGTATAGTTTCTTCAAAAGTTCTCCCAATGCTCATAACCTCACCAACAGATTTCATTGAAGAACTTAAAGCTTTGTTTACACGAGAAAATTTCTTTAAATCCCATCTTGGAATTTTAACTACAACATAATCTAAACTCGGTTCAAAGCAAGCACAAGTAACTTTTGTTACTGAATTACTAATTTCATTTAATGGAATACCCAATCCTAATTTTGCTGCTACAAAAGCTAATGGATATCCTGTAGCCTTAGATGCCAGGGCAGAAGATCTTGACAACCGGGCATTTACTTCAATAATACAATACTCCTTTGAGAAAGGATTTAATGCATATTGAATATTACATTCTCCTATTACACCAAGATGTCTTATCACGTTTACGGCTGTTGAACGAAGCATATTGTAATCTTCGTCCGAAAGAGTTTGAGAGGGGGCCACCACAATAGAATCGCCTGTATGAATTCCAAGAGGATCAAAGTTCTCCATATTACAAACAGTGATACAATTATCCCGACAATCTCTTACAACCTCGTATTCAATTTCTTTCCATCCTTTCATACTTTTTTCAATTAAAACTTGAGAACTTATAGCAAAAGCTTTTGAGCAAATTTCCTGTAATTGTGCTTCATTTTCAGCGAATCCACTACCTAAACCTCCAAGTGCATAAGCAGCTCTACAAATTACTGGATAACCAATCTTTTTTGCTGCTTCTAATGATTCTTGTATATTTGCAGCTGATGCAGATTTTGCACACTTTTCATGAATTTGTAACATTTTTTGTGCAAATAATTCTCTATCTTCTGTCATTATAATAGTTTCTATCGGAGTACCCAATACTTTTATACCTAATCGATCAAATTCATCTTTAAGTTTTATTCCAACACTTAATGCTGTTTGTCCTCCAAATGTCACGTAAATTCCATCGGGTTTTTCGTGTCTTATAACTTTACGAACAAAATCTGGATTAACTGGCAAGAAATATACCTTGTCGGCCAATGAACGTGACGTTTGTATAGTAGCAATATTTGGATTAATTAATATTGTGTATATACCCTCTTCTTTCAAAGCTTTAATGGCCTAACGAAAGAATTAAATATATTAATATACATTTTATTTTACGCGTTTTCTATTAAACTAATATCCTTACCTGACTTCCAGAATAGTCGAATTCACCAGCTTGACCAATACTTAATCCACCGCTACCCAAAACCAAAACTTTCCTAACATTAACGCGAGGATGCTTCATTGAATTTTCCTCTTTATTACCACCAGGAATTTTAATGGGTACTAATTTTCCAGATAAATTAGATTCTCTAACACTCTCAATAAAAACATCAAATAAAAATTCTGTATCTCTTGGTCCTGGAGTTGATTCAGGATGAAATTGGACAGAAAAAATTGGGAGCGTTTTATGCATGATCCCTTCATTAGATCCATCATTTGCATTAACGAATAGTTCCATATAATCTTTTGAAAGTGTATTTGTATCAACTGCATATCCATGATTTTGTGAGGTTATATAACAACGACCTGAAATCATATTTGTACATGGAATATTGTGACCGCGATTCCCATATTTCATCTTTATCGTTTGAGCGCCGGATGCTAAGCTTAACAATTGATGCCCCATACAGATTCTTTATTCATATATATAGAGAAAGAAAGGTTAATTATAATAAACATATAAATGAATATAATGAAGTTAAATTTACCCGAAAATTGGAGTTTTAACTTCTTGCAATGCTATTTTAAGATGGTCAATAGTCGCAATGACCATAGTCGGATCGCCGGGACCGTTACTAAAAAAGGAAAAATAATCATTAATATTTTAAATATTAATTAATCGTACAAATACTTAACTGATATATACCTGATGAACAATCCATCATAATCATTGTCTCTATTGAAATCATAATCCCAGGGAACAACCTTTATTTCTACACCACGATTTGCCAAACATCGAATTTGATTAAATTTCTATAGAAAGAAAAAAATATTATTATAAGGGTCTAAAATTGGTTAATTCCGTTGTAAATACAAATAAGTAAATTTTCGATATACAAACCATGCCAACATCCACTACTAAAATACGTAATGTTTTTCCGTTGACTCCTTTAAGAGCTCTTGCCGGATCTGGTGTGTATAATTTCGGTTTTTTAATTGAAACTATTTAAGGAAAAAAAAATATTAGTGATATTCCATGTATAAACATGCACAAAACGATCTACTATGAAGTTAGAATAAATACCTTCAGCAACGAGATTTCTATCATTTGGATCAACCCAAGGAACATCTTGATAATCGATCATCCAAGGTTGCTTATCAACTTCATTCAAAGGAGACGAAATTATCACATCACCCACAACATTTTTTGTAAAGAGGATTTTACCCAACAGAACACCCTTAGTACGAATTTTTTTGGTAAGAGCACGAGTATCGATTCCGTATAAAGCAGGAATGTTATTTTCTTTAAGCCAATCAGATAAAGAAGATTTAGCCAAATAATGAGAAAATTCTTGAGAATATTGTCCAATAATTAAACCAATTATATGAATGTCATCTGATTCAAAATATTTTTTTAGAGAAAAATCATCCACAACATCTCGTGACGGCACACCATAATTTCCAATTAACGGAAACGTTAAAACCAATATTTGTCCTCTATACGATGGATCTGTTAAGGATTCTGGATATCCTATCATTCCAGTTTGAAAGACGCATTCTCCCGAGACGCTCTCTATTTCTGCTCCAAATGAAAATCCTTGAAAACAGCTACCATCTTTAAGTACTAAAGTTGCGATTATGTCATTTTTAAAAGTTGGAGCGGTTACAGGTGGAGTTGGTGATCTTGGTGATGATAAATTATTATTGAGATAATTTTCAATAAGAGAATTAGAAATGATTTGCGGGGCTATTCCATCGATTATCTCACCACCGCTGTGAATGTTATCTACCACTTCCGTTGCTTGTAAAGAAGTCGCAGTTGACGTGGAAATTAAATTTTCCACGTTTTTCATGGTGAAGAAAACTTGGTTTTATTTATACTAATAATTTTCGTAAAGCGGTCGAGCAAATTTTTATGCGAAATTTCGAGCACCAAGATTTTAGCATAGAATTTCTACGAAAAGGAAGGTGATAGAATAAATCGAATAATTAAAAAATGGTTAAGAGTTTACTTTGAAAAGGTAGTAATATCTAATTCTTTAAACATAATTTTTTTCTTTATCAAATATTTTTATTATCTTGCAAAGTGTTAAAATACCAAGTTTAAAGGAGCATTTAAAAATTTTGCATTTAATTGGTAAGATAAAAAATTGATCAAAGTTCAATTTGAATTAAAAATGATCAAAGGCACAAATAATAATAATAATAAAAAAAGCTTATCAAATAATACGCACTCCCACTAAGACTCGAAACGTTATAGAAGCAGAACAAAAAAAAAAAAAAGAAAAAAAAGAAAAAAAAGAAAAGTTTGATAAAAAATAAATTCACGTGATTTATACTGTTGATAATCACATCTCATAATTTTTATTATTAAAAAAAGATCACCACTGCCTACCAGATATTAAAGTTTCCAATACGATATTATGTCTACGTTTACATAGTGCTTGTAAATCATCACTTACTTTCACATATCTCGTACCATTAAAAGGATTTGTTTCTAAATACCAATCAATTACCACCAAATAAAATTTAAGTTGAGGAAAACTTTTCGCCAAAAAATCAAAAAAATCTACATCTAAATCATTTTCTTCATGATACTGTAAACGTAAATTAAATAATTTAGGAAATACACTTGGATTAAATAATTCAGCTATGCCACCGGCAGTTATCTTACCACATTCAGATAAATCAATCACATTTAATTCTGGCCAAATATTATTCTTATGATTGCTTGTTGAATTTGCTAAATTAATAAGTAATTTATCAGTTATCGCAGCTGCTTGAATTTTTAGTTCTTTTAACTTTTTACAATAATTTATCATTGGTAATAATAAGTCATCCGTTATCTCCGTAGCCAAAGATTCATAAACACCCGGTCCCCAAATCATGAAAGATCTCAATGTTTCTTGATTTAATTTAACTAACCCACATAAAAAATCTTTATCTAAATTTCTACATTTGACCAATGATAATATTTTAATACATCTACAATGTTTTAATAACATCTGTTTGTCTTTATCATATAATCCTACCCAGTATAATGATATTGAATTAATTAAATGGCCGTACTTTGGAATATAATTACGAATCAAAAACCACTTGCTTTGCCTTCTAATATCAACTTTATTCCATAATATTGTTACAGAACAGTTATGCCATCTTCGACATACCAATGATACATTTAATATGTCCTCATATGATTCTTCAACCAAAGGAATACGAAGGTGTCCAAATATTTTTAATAAGATTTCCGGTGGAAGTGATGATAATATAGTATCAGAATTTGGTCTTTTAATTAATATTGGAGGTGTTACAGGAGGCGTTAATAATGGAACTATTGCTGATTTTAAGGATTGTGTAGGAGATGTTGATAAATTTGATAGTACATTTATTATTGACGATACGTTATTCGAAGTATCACTCATTTATTTTGAAGAAAATTTAACGGGGGAAAGAAAAGATATTTTTTTTCTTTTACAAAAAGGACAAGGATTAAAAAAAAGTATATTATATGTATGATGTATTTATATAAATTTCATCATGACAAATGATTAACTGTAAAATAGGGTCTTTTTTGGCATTTTGGACGATTTGTTTTATCTTGTACCAGCGCAACCGTGCAATATTACGTCATTTATGGATGATCGGGCACTTTGCAAGACAATCTTCATTCAAATGACATGTACAAACCAACTCAAAAAAAAAAATGAACACATCAAATCAATTATTAATTTTTTTTTCTGTGTATATAAAAATTATGAATGAAGAAATCATTTTCTTCTTGAATATATTCACACCTCAAACTAACGTTGTATGTAGTTGACCATGTGGAATTTGTAAATTATCAACAGATTTTAGTTCAATTGATAAATTACCAAATTACGATTAGAATTTCAATAAAATAAGTTAAAGAGACTTCTAAATAAAGTAAATCATTCAACATTCTTTTTTTTCCTGTTGATGGCTTCTCGAAAAATCTTTCATCGTGCCCCGTGTCATTTTATAAACGGTAAGATTGGATTGCAAATAAATAAAGTTTGTTGTATACCCAATCATAAAATATGCAGTGAAACATCAACTTTTTGATTCAAAAATAACACTCTCTACAATGAATTAACTGTATGAAAATTTTCTTCCTTTTGTCTTTTACATCAAAAAAAGAAAACAAAAAGCTTCATAAGCATCGTTAAATTTGATATGAGTAATTCCTCTCATTTTGATCCTCCTCGTGGGGTATTCACTTTACCTACGCCTTGTGAATTGACTAACCCATTCTGGGATGTAATAAAAACTTCCAAACATTTTAATTTACAAAGAACCAAAGCTTCAAACATAAACTCTATTTATAGAGGAGTTATTGGTACCATTCAAAATGTGTAATGTACTCTATTTTTGCATCAATATTTTTATTAATTTATCATCATTCGTTTATTAACTCGGTTTTTTAAAAATTTTTAGATTTGATACAAAGCAACCACCTTTTCGAATCGTTTTTAGAGCTGAACCAACTAGTACTTCTTTACAAATTGCTGTCTCACAAACTGAAAAAGGGATTAACGATGCGTGGAAATGGATTGAAGGTATTCTTATTGATCAATTCGGATCATTTATTATTATTAACTTTATAGATTACTATAATCAACGATTCTAAATTTTTTTTTAGATAGTTTATTTTTGGGATTAACTAAACTTGATGATCCCGGCGAAAAAGAAAATTATGTAGTAACAAAAATAAATTCACTGGTTACTCGTCAAGGTACCATTCGTTATTATTTTTTTGTTATTTATTTATATTATTTATTTATTTTATTTATTTATTTTTAATAAAAAAAATCCGAATGTGTAGATAAAGGAACTGATGAAGTTTCCGAGGATGAAAGTGTTCGTGCTGCATCCAGAGCTTTTCGACAGACCTTCGATATTGCTCCCACAGAAAGGCTGGTTAATTGTGAGAAATTTTTTCTTTTTAAAAAAAAAAATAAAGTATTTATTATTCCCAATTTAATATTGATTCCGATTATTGTTATCATAGTTTATTCCTGTGCATATCGTAGTATAATTCAAGGATGGATGTACATCAGCGAAAACTATTTGTGCTTTTATGCTTTTTGGTTAGGTCACGAAACAAAAATATTAATAGAGTTAAAAGATATTCAAGATTTATTAAAAGAAAGATCAAAACGTGGAATAGTTGCAGATTCCATCAAAGTTATCACAAAAGGTAGCCAAGAGGTTAGTGTTAATCCAAAATAAATTATAGCATCCGTTAATTAAAAATATTACAACTAAGGAATTAATCTTTTATACATTAGCATTTTTTTTCTAATCTTTTTCACCGTGATGAGGTAATGTAAAATTTATTTGCTATAATTTATAATGAATCATTATATTAAATTCAATTTGTTTTTTCATATAGACTTACGATACTTTAATGCAGCTAACAAGTCAATCTATGCAGAGATTACTTAAAAATGCTGCCATAGAGCCAGCACCTGGAAAATTTTTGTTTGATTCCAATTTTGAGCCCAATTCTGATAAAGAAAAATCTGTGCCAAAATGTAATTCAATTATGCCCCGTTCCCCAATGGTACCGCCATTAAAGAAAGGACTTGAAGAACAGAAAAGGGATAAAGAATTTCAAATGTATTTTAATCTACCCACAACTGAACATCTTATGGAAGAGTGTTCTTGCGAATTTTCAACTCTAGAGATGAAAGAATTCTTAAACGGAAAACTTCAACTTTCTGAAGGTTATCTCACCTTTGTAGCTGATAATGCAAAAAGTTGTAGCTTTATTCTGCCATTGTATACTGTGAGGAGAGTTGAAAGGCTTAATAGCAAAACACATATTTTTGCACTTTCAATATCGAATTGGCATCAAATGAAATTAACATTACAAATAAATGGAAGCAAAATAGCTTGTGATAAGTTTTGTAATAAACTTCGAGATAATCTAAAAGAACAGGTACGTCACATGAAGCATCTAAGGTCATTTTTAAGTACGTGTATTTCGGAAGCTTTACTTGTGGATCCGAAAAAAGAAATTTCAGTTGGTGGGTTAGGATTAGTATTTGGATTTCCTGGTGATTCTAAAAAGTAAGTTTAAAAAAATTTTTTTTCTTATGCAAATAATTATTAACAATATATTAAACATATAATATTTTCCGTTACCTAGATTAAGGGATAAGTATAAGACAAAGCTTTGGATCGAATATCTGCAGAGTATGCGATTTATAAATATATTCGAGTTAATTTATTTATTTTGGGGTGTTGAGGAATAAATATATTTTCATTTGTATTTATCTTGATTAGCACATGGCAGGAATTTGACTCTGATCAAAAATCCATATTTTTATAAACTTGTTCGTGTTGGATTACCGAACAAGCTACGTGGAGAAATTTGGGAACTTTGTTCTGGAGCAATGTTTTTGCGGTTTGTAAATGATGGGATGTATGAGAATTTACAGAAAGATTACGCTGGCAAAGTTTCGCTTTCAACTGAAGAGATTGAAAAAGACTTGAACAGGTAGTTTAGGCGAATTTATTATTAAAAAATTTTCTTTCGTGTTTAAGCTGATATACTGAATTTATTAACTTATTTGAGAAATTAGGTCTCTTCCCGAATATACCGCCTATCAAACAAAAGAAGGAATAAATACTCTGAGAAGAGTATTAACAGCTTATTCCTGGAAAGATCCTGAATTAGGTTATTGTCAGGCCATGAATATTGTTACATCTGCTATTTTAATGTAAGTTATTTTATAAATTGTATTTTATAATTTTAGTCAATTTTTTAATACCTAAATTATCTATTAGTTACATGAGTGAAGAACAAGCATTTTGGATATTAAGTGTATTATGTGATAGAATGTTGCCAGGATATTATAGGTATGGAATTGCTTTTTATAAAAATAAAAATAAATATGTATCGAATTTTTTATTGATTTTATTGATTTATAGCACATCAATGTATGGTGCTATTCTTGATCAGTTAATATTTGAACATTATGTTCAAAATAAAATGCCCGTGCTTTATGAGCATTTTCAAAACGTTGACGTTCAACTGTCTGTCGCTTATCTTCCTTGGTTCCTAAGCTTATATATCAATTCAATGCCTCTCCTTTTTGCTTTCCGAGTGCTTGATTGTTTTTTTTTGGAAGGCCCTCGAGTATTATTCCAGATTGGGTTAGTAAATTTTAACTTTGAATTTTTAAATACTTAAACCATTTAATCGTATTATTTAATACATATGTATCAAATTTTCATTCTTAGATTGGGTAAGAAAGCTTTAAATACCTTTAAATATGGTTATCATCAATCGCAGCTATATTAATCTTTGAAACTCTTCGATTATTTTAAGCGATTCTTAAAATAAATGGAGATGAACTTTTGACAATTACTGATGATGGACAATTCATACATGTATTAAAAAAATACTTTGGAGCATTGGACCAGCCTGCTCATCCAAATAATAAGAATGATAAGACCCGAGAAACTACTAAATTTAATGAGTTAATGATGGTGGCTTTTAAAGAATTTTCAAGTATCACAACTGAAAGTGTAACGGAACTTCGTAGAACACATCAGCTTAAAGTCGTTCATAATATCGAAAGTTATACAAAGCGAGGACAAATAAGAAATTTGAAGGATACTTCGAAATTTTCAAAAAATGATATCTCTATTATTTATGACAAATACTATAATGCACAGTTCTATGGTAAACAAAAAAGTGTGCGAAATGACTCTCGAATGGATTTGAATACATTTTATCGGTTTTTAGGAAGTATTGCTGGTTGGGCAAAATTAGACGATGATAATCTTACAAAAGAAAATGGATCACCGAGAGATAATCAAGGAAGAAGATTAGTAGGATATGAATTTATTAATAAGTTATTTATTCATTTCGACCGAAGTCAATCTGACGGACTTACTCTTCAAGATGTTGTATTAGGGCTTGGAGAAATTGTTTTTGGAGATCTCTTGTCACGAATGGAATTGTTTTTCAATTTACATGATAGTGACAAGGATGGGTATCTATTTAAGGAAGAGATATTACAAATGTCGGAAAGTTTCCTATTTATATTTAGAAATCTACCAGATGATGGTCATTTAGGTTCTGTTTCAAATTTTATAAAAAACGCTTTTGAGTATACAGAATCTATGGGTGAAACTGATGATGTAGAAAATTTATTGACGGAAAAAGAAGAACATAATACGAGAATGTCATTACCATCATTTCGTATGATAATATTAGCAGATGGTTATCTTGAAGAATTTTTTGATTCGGGATTTGCAACAACATTCCAATTTATTGAGCCGACAGAAGAAAGATCAAAAGGACTTGGAAGAGAAATATTTAATGCACTAATGACAGATGGCATGAAATTAGCAGGGAAATTTGGTAAAAGGCTTAACAATGCAAGACCAAAATCATTTGGTTCACCAGATCGTAGCAGCTCTTCAAATTCTATATCAAATAGATACAGTATGAATTCACCAGCTCAATCAACTACATCATTAATGAATTCAAATAATATGACAGAAAGTTTTAATAACAACATTAATCATAATAATAATTCATCATTATTAATACCAAGAAGTAATTCACAAGATTCGTTTGTTTCAGTTGAATCACAAAAATCTTTGTTAAAAGCACAAGGAAATGATTCTCCTATTTCATTTGGTTCCGAAGAAGAAGATGGACTTATGCAAGAAGTTGATAGATTATTAAGTGAATTTAGCATTGATGAAACCGGTAAAAAAAAAAAGGAGATTTTATTTGTTATTTATTCTAAACTTTATTTTGAGATGTAACTTTTTTCAATTCTATTGTACAGGTCATGATAATAGCAGTGCTTTGTCAATTGATATACAAGGTAACTATAAAATGTTTTAATGAAATTATATTATTTTTCATCTAAATCTAATCTATATTATTTAGATAATACAAATATACTTGAAGAAGATGATGTTGATAAATTACTTCAAGATATATAATTTATTTATCAATTTTGAAATATTTTAAAATTATTTATAATCATTAACGTTAATAGAATACAATAAGAAACGTACTTTTTAATTTTATATAAATATTTAGTTTAAATTTTGCTAAAAATTATTTTTATTTTAATTAAAAAAATGTGATTAAAGAAATTATTTACTTTAAATTTGTATATAGTATTTATTTTATTTATTTTTATATTTGAAGATACATGTCAAAATTGCTTCCATATTGATCCGATCCGATTTTTATGAATTTATTTTGACCAATTAAAAAGTGGCTAAACTGAAAAGCTACCGGGATGACCTTGGGTTTTTTACTATCAATTACTAAACACAATTCTGGAATTCGGTTATTTTGGCAATAACAGTTCAGTAACTGCTTGTAATACTGCCTCACTCATAGATGATAATGATGAGTTTGAGCGTGATTTAAAGAATGAACTTAGTCGCCTCTTTTAAATCGTTTATATCAATAGAATTAAGTGCTTTAACATTTTGACTTGATATTATTTTTATAGGGTTAGCTATCGATGAATATAAATAAGCATTATTTTACGTCCCTCCATATTCATTCCTAGAAGAAAATAAGATGGCGAGTGGGTTCAAACCATCGGGCACTAGGAATGACATTTCCGCCTTCCGCCATGTTCGATAATTGGTACCCGTAGACAGTTAATGAAAAACACGTACGCGTTCCGTTTCGGAATGCCGATCACTTTGCCATTAAGAAACTATATGGAAAATTGCACGCATATGCAAAATGTTTTCTTTTTTACAATATGCTTCCATAATAGAAATCAAAGATGGTGAAACATCTCTTGGATCGTTATAATTAGTACCTGAAGACTGATCGCCATCGATATGTCTGATATGTTAGCCTCGTCAATGTTCTTTTGCGGAGGAATGTATGAGAAAGTAAATTTTCATTTCGTAACTGAGGAGATGGTGACATTACTCCACTTCTTTCGCTATTTCATCATCCTCAGATTCGCCATTAGATGATTTTTCACCTAGAAAAGGAGAGAACTGATCTTGGAAAGAAACAGTTGACGATTTTTCACCCGATACTAAAAAAGGATTGTTTTCAATATCTTCATCATTACTATCCTGTTCGTATTGCAAAGGATAATCAGGTAGAGTTTAGTTAGCGGTCAAGTCTAAAAATATAGCCAGCAACAAAATGTCCATTACTTTACGAATTCTGGTACGTTTTGTTGCTCTTTCCTTTCATCAAAGAATCTCTTAGTGGTGATAACCGTATGCTCCTCTCGCGTCTTCGTTGCGCATATTTCGATTGTTATCCTCGCCTTACGATGTTCCTAATAGGATTGTCAATAAGGTTATTATAATATTTTATTCCTAAATTTGCTTTAAGACTCACCCCTAATGCTTGTAGTGTACTTGCTGATGTAACATTTCGACTAAGTGTTGTGTGAAATTACTTTTTTTCAGTTTTTAATTCGATTTCATCAATAAAACGTTTTACATCCACTGAAGAGAATGACCTATCATAGTTTGACAGAATTTTATTCGTCTTTTTTCTTGGCAAATTCGTGTGCATAGCCTTTTTCGTCTATACTACGTAACAGCGAATACAGGTCATTCATGAAAGTATTGATTGTATCTATAGATAATATTTTGGCTCTATATATCGCAAGGCATTAATAATCGAACATTCCTTCTGTGGAGGTACTCATTCAATAGTGATTCAAATATCTTAAAAAGAGCATGATAAATTGATATGGTGCAAACCAGTGATATAGATTGGGTTGCGCAATAGGCGCGGCGCACATTGAATTATAATTACGCGTATGACTACACAAGATTTTTACACATTTAAAAATATTTATCACTGGTGCAAACGGCTTAGTCGCATCCAATAATTTTCAGTGATTTTAATCTTAAAAATATTAAAAATAATATAGTTTTAATTTTAATTAACGCTAACTTTAATAGTAATAGCGGGATTTTCAGCGCTACAATATCACGTGCTCGAAATATGATTGGTTCGTATGAATCACTTGACAAAATATGATTGGTTAATCGCACCAAATTCTTCCAGTAACACGACAATGAGACTTCTACTGTTTAACCGCAAAGACAGCCATCTTACCTGAAAATCCAAGTTCATAAGCACTTATGTAATACATAGAATAACATGCAAACTGACGAATTTTTTTAGACTAATGGAATTTAAAACACATGATACAACTTCCTTAAGGTCCTTAAATGTATAATTGCAATGAAGACATGAATACTGCCTAAAAAGACTTGATGTAATTAAGTTCACAGTGAAACTTCAGGCAGAATATACACATATGCTCTGCTATCTCAATAACCTAAAAGATAAGTGTTTTAAAAAAAATGTTATGGTAAATTAAATAATTATTAACTATAGCTTATCTCTTGTAAATGTATATGTTTGTAATACAAAATCAGGTTAAGCAGAAAGGATACATGTTATACAACAGTTTAGCTTAACTGGATTGGAATTATGTTATATATACATATTGCATTTTCTTTTCAAACCCAGTATCTATAAATCACGTTCTTTAAGAACTCGTCAGATGCCTTTAAGTTTTACTATACTATTAATATCTGTGAATGTCATGATATGAAACGAGCCATCAGGCATTCTACCATTACAGAGAAGTTGTTGTTTATTACTATCTTTCATATTTATTTTTAATACCATCAATGCATCATCAACAAATGCATTGTGATTGTAATTGTTATCAAACATAAATAGTACAATTTTTCTTAAATAAATACGTTTAAATATTAGGATAGTCTGCTCTTTTATCTGATTAACAATATCTTTATTTTTATTTTTTACCATCTATTACAACTTGTATTAGGATACATCATTATGTAAGCTTCAGTATACATAAGCTGCTCACCATCTGAAAACAAATTATTAGCGAAACAATCCTTTTCTGAAAGCTAAAGTCATCTAATAGACTTATAGTAAAAGTTACTTACATAAATACTAAGGTCTTGTGACTTGTGATGAAGTCTATTTTCATTCACTAGATTCTAAGCCTTAACAATATTATTATTAGAATAGAAAATTAATCCATCATGAGTAACTAGAATAATTTCAGAAATACCACATAGAAGATGATTTAGTTTAAATTATTATCTTCGTAAATAGCAATTCGTTTTTCGTTTTTATAATTTTACCCATTGTTATAAAAATCAACCTCTATCTGCAATTACATCTTCATGTTCATGACCATCAAAGTAAATGTTCTTTGAATAGTTTTTATATTACCAGTCAAGAAGATATAATCATTCACATGCAATTGAATGAGAAATACTTATCTTTTCTTCTATTTCAAGAGCAGAAATAACCTCATTCTCAATAAATTATGAATTTAACAACATTAAACTTGAATTTATATGCACGTAAATATTCAATAACTCACAATTTAACATTTTTATGCAAAAAAAGAGATCAGATTTTTGCATAACGTTCACGTTTGAATAAAACAATTGTACTATTACTAAGCTATTAGTTTATCCTAAAGCAAATAAGCTATGCTTGCTATGGATCATTATTTAAACTCTGAATAAAAAGATTACTTGTATCCATCTTACTATATTCTTGATCCTAGATTAAATGAAAAAATTGATTTACTATCTGAAGCTGCAAATCATCATTCTTTTTTTAATAACAAATTCAGAAATCCTAAAGTAAATTTGTTATTAATATCATCACTGCTAATATTAACTTTCATCACTATTATATACTAGCTTACATAAATTTAAACCTATACATGTGACTTTGCATTTTTAATCAATTGTTTTAATGTATTTAGTTTTTATACTTGCATTCTATCCATAATTTCATCACTATTGAAATGTGTCTCTTTATCTTCTATCCAAAAATTACTAAATCATAATTCATCAAATTCATCAGGTTTAGCATCTAATAACTTAAATATAATTTCTTCTAAGTTCTTTTTTTATTCCTAGTATTTTTTAATAGCTTTCTGAAACTATTTAGTACATTTATTTACCTTTAGCATTATAATCCTATTAAATTAAAATAAAAAATATTTAAAAAAATTATTATAAATGACATAAAATAACACAAAGTTGTGTAATTTAACTACTATTATATAACTATATATTGATTACATATTATGATTTTAACCAATAAAATTTCAAATTTAATATGAAAATAATTGGTAAAATTTTCAGCAATAGCTTAACCATTTGATGCGACTAAGCTATTTATACTATAGTTATTAAAAAATATTTCATTAGTATTATTCTTTTAAATAAAAAAAATAAATATTAAAAATAAGTTTATACATACTATTAAAAACTGTCTCTGCTATTCTTTTTGTTAAGAATTGTAATATTATTTTACAATTATTTCTAAAAAAAAAAAATATAATTCAAATAAAGAAAAAGAATATTCTAAAATATATTTACAATAAATTGAAATAAAAGTTAAAAGAATTAGTTATATATTAGTATTTTAAAAATCTAGAAATAAAGACTAATATGATAATTGTAAAGAAATTATAAAAATAGTATAAATATATTAATATTATAGAATAGGATAAATTTATAAGTTATTTATAAAATTCAGAATGAGAAAAATGATATTCAATAGAAATTAATAAAGATTTAGAAAATATATAACTTATGATAAGTTAACAAATACTTTTTAGAGCAGTTAAAATATTTCTTAAGAAAATATTAATAGTTTTACTACTACTATAATATAAGAATTAACATATTTAGAACAATATAAATATTATATATTATAATAATAAATTGTTATCTCTTACTAAGAATTAATAAAAATTATTAAAATCCTAAAAAGAACATCTTGATATACTATTTTAAATTTAGTTTTATAATACTAGTAATCTAAAGTTAGAAAACAGAATAAATGCAAAATAGCATTTATTATTAAATATGAATTATATGAATTTAATATAATAACATTTGAATTATATAATATAATAGTTAAATTTTAAAGAGTTATAAATAATATATTGTGATATATAAAGAAAATTTTAATTAGTATATTTGATAATATTAATTATGATAAATATTTACAATATTTTTAGCAAGTATTTAACATATTAAAAGAAATTTAAATGAAGATAAATCTAGAAAAATGCTATTTTTGTATAAATGAAATTTATTTGATTAGAATAATTTAAAATTATTATTCTAACTAAATAATAAGTATAAAATCATTTAATTAAAATGATTTAAAATTATTATTCTAACTGAATAGTACAGTAGCAATTATAAGCAGTATTGTCATAGAATATTAATAAAACATTAATAAATATAAATAAAACAGATAGGATATTTAGAATATAGTATAAGACAGGTTAAGACATATAGCTGAGACATATAATTAGAATAACAAATTTCTAAAACATCAAAAATGTATATTATTAATTATAAATATTTGACCCTTCATAATTCTTAAAATTAATTAATAATATCTATTAAAATTTTTTTTAAATTTAAATTTAATATTAATCTTTGATACTGTAAAATTATAGATTTGTACTATATATAGTTCAAAAGTTAGATAATTAATAGATTTATATTTTAAAAAAAATACCTTTTTATTATATAAATAATTTCATTTTTTTTATTATTAATGTCTAATTCTTTAAATATTTTGAATTTTTTTTAATATTAATATTTAAAAGTTATTATACATTTTTACAGAATTTTAAATAAATTATATAAATAGTTAAAGAACTTCTATAATACCATATTTTTCTATTATTTTTTTTTGAATAATATTTATAATATTAACTTTTTGTTAAATTTACTTTAAGTTATCTTTTGAAAAATTTATAAATATAAGCTAAAAGTACCTTTTATAGAAATTATATGTAAAATTAATATCAGGTTTTACTAAAAAAATTGGTTTATCAAATCAAAAATCTGAAAAATTACTGTAGTATAAACTTTATATCAGATATTATAACTTTTATTTATTGTTAAAATCTTTATTTAATAGTATTTTTAAATATAATAAAGATTATAATCTTATTATAATAAATATAAAGTAAAAAATTTATATAAAAAACTATTTAGTTTTTAATTATTAAAAAATATTAGCTTTTATAGTTTCCAATTTATATGTTATATAAGTCTATAATTTTATATGTAATCATTATTGGTATTTATATCTGAATTTTGAAAAATTTTAATAGATATTATTATTTGATTTTAAAAAAATGTTATACCTTAAATTAATGATCTACTTCAAATGCAAATTTCAATTTCAGGCAATCCAATTTGAAATTTCAAATTTGAATAATACAATTTTGCTGCTTCAATTTAAAATTAAGATAAATTAAAATTTGAGATATGTAGTGATCTAAGTTGACTATTACTTTAATTTAAAATTAAAACAAATTAGA